TTTCTTTCCAAAATTGAAGGGAGTGAGATAATATGGAAATTAAGGAGAAAAAAGTAAGAGAAATGCAATTGTTCCTCCTTTGCCTTTGATTGCCAGCAGGATGTAATCAGGTAATTTCAGTAATTAGAAGAAGCAACCTATATTTAAGAATACTCATGTTAAAAAAATTCAGTTGTCTCAGTGAATATGTTTTTGCATGTGCCCCTCCATGCTACTGTGTCTTCTTTATAAAACAGTTTAATTGTCACATTTAATGTTGATGTACAGGGGGCTAGTATGAATTCCAAGAGAGTATAATTCAACTTTAATTTTTATCAAAGCCCCTGACTTAACCTGTCTTGCCTTCTAAGTGCTTACTAATAATCAGCTATAGTGTCATTTGGCCAATTGATATGAATTTGTGTTAATGGGGTTTCCCACCACTATAAATATTCCCATTGTCACTGCACTGGTAGATTTGTCTGTCCATAATCATGTTCAGTATGCGCTCACTAAAATGCATCTCCAATACAAAATTATTTTAGTTTTTTTTATTTTTCCTTTACATCTCTGCTTGTTTTGTTTTTTAAAAAGCTGCTCCTTTTTCTGATACATCTAGTAGTTCCAACTCTTAAAACAATCCAATTGATTGGTTTTTTTATTTAAAAAAAAAAAACTTGGAAGAAATTGCATAACAATACAAGTAACTGGAGTCTGTGAGGTTTGGCACAGAGCTGTGGAAGAAAGGTCTGGCTGTAACAACCCCACAAGGAAAAAAAAACCCCTTGACATTTTGAAAAAAAATGTGTTGACCAGTGTAGACAGAGAACAGGAAGCCAAATTGCTATTGCTGGCAAGCAGCATTCTGTGTCCTGCTGACCTTTGAATGCCACTTTGGGTCATGAGAAAGCCAAGGGAACTCTACTAAAAGGGAATAGGAGGGAAGCTGTTTGGAGAAAAAAACAACTCATTATTGACTTTCAGCTTTATAAGCTAACTTTATCTATAATATAGGTTTACTCTTTGTAATATAGTAAGATAACATTTAAAGCACCTAAATATCATAGAAGCCTAATTCCTATTTTCAAAAGTGACTTAGGGACAGATTATACAAAGTATTTAAGCTCCTAGTCAGAACCGTCCTATCCATAGGATGGTTCGGGACAGCCACTCTAGGCCCCATGGTTTGGGGGACCCCACCGGGTCCACTTCAGCCATCCTGCGGAGAGGATGGTCCCCCATGTTAGCTGCAGAGCCCAGGATGGATTGGAGGATTATCGGGTGGGAGCTGTGTGGAATGCAAGCAAGGGTTGGGGTGGCCACCCAACCCAGCAGTCTGTGCTCTGCTTAACCATGGTGGTGGGAAGCAGAGTGCCCCAGCCCTAGCAGCAGAGCAGAGCAGCAAGGAAGGTCCAACCGCTACTGCTGCCCCCACACCACTCTCTCCAGTAATCTGGTGGGGTGGGGGTTGGTCCTATGGCTAGGGGTATTTTCCTGTACCCCATACTCCCCTAGGGATGGCCCTGCTTCTAGTGAGATATTTAGGAGCTTCTAGGCACCTCTCATGGATCTCAGTCCAAGTTGTTAGTACGGCTAGATTCACAAAGAAGTCTTAAACTCAGCATTGTAATGCCTAATATTTAGGTGCTCTGCTACCTACTACCCTAAATTAAGTGTGTAGGCTCTCTGTACAGTGCATGTGGAGACTCAGCTGCCAAAGAATGTGATTCGGAGAAGCCAACCTCTAGCTTAGTTTGAGCCACTACCACATGAGCTAAAAGCCAGAAGGGTGCCATTTCAGAAGGGCGGAGGGAGGGGCAAGGCAGCAGCCGTGTTCTCCGGGACGCAGCTTGCTTGTTATCCCTTTCTCCGGACGCTAAAAGAGTGAGGGGAAAGTGTTTGCATGCCGCGCATTCCTCTTATACCTAGCTGGTGAGCTCCTTCACCAGCCAGGTGAGAGAGGCATGTACAGAATGCAAGCACTTTCCCCTCACTCCCTTAGCATCCAGGGAATGGCATGAAAAGCAAGCTGTGTCCCAGAGCGCACGGCTGTTGCCCCCCTACTATCCCAAAATGGCACCCTTTGCCAGGTTGCTATTAGCTAAAGCTATAGAGCAGACTCATTCTCTCTGTAAGTGGTGTTGGTGACACTAGATGGGGCAGTATACCATACCCCAGAGGTGTGTGTGGGTTATATTGCCAGTGTAGACGTAGCCCAGAGGTGTGTGTGGGTTATATGTTCAGAAAAAATTAAAACATTGGGGGTTAATACAAATACAAAATTTCCTTTCCTTTGATATATATTATGGTTTTGAACAATGAGCAAAAGTTCTGTAAAAGTTGGAAGATATTTTAAAATGTCTTTATTAATGTACTTCATTGATATCAGAAGCTTTACTGGCTTTTATAATGCAGAGAAATAGTAGGGAATAGATTTGACTTTTCTCAGCATGTTCACAGTAATCAATAATATATTATTAAATGGAATAAAAATAGAGGTTAAAGGGCCTGTGTTTTTGAGACAGCCTAGGCAGACAGTTGCAATTATTGAGATTGATTGTGCTCACACACTGGTGAATGTCAAGAATAATTCTTATTAAGTCAATCTAACATAAAATAATGGCAAATGAGAAGTGATTTGGGCGAATTTTGTGTGCCAGTAAAATAGCTGCATTTGCACAGATAATTTTACAAGCGCGTGTGTGTGTGCACGTTCTCAGTAACTGCATACCTAAACTGTTCTGAGCTGGTAGGGACCATCTCTTGTGTGAAAAGTCCTTGACCTTGCTGCTTAGACTGTGATAGTTCTTTGTGAGGTCGACGCCAGTGTAGAAGGAAACTGATTCTGTTTTATTCTATGTAGGTTCTACCACCATCATCAGTATAGTGCCTACGCAGCCTTCCCATACTGCATTAAAGAATGTGATTAAAATCTCTCACGTGGTTATTTGTTTTCTATTATCTTTTCCGCAGGTAGAGATTTGTGTGGTCAGTGCAGTTATTTTGGAGTGTGCATTTTTTTTATGTATGTGTAGCTATATCTGGGTATGTCTACACTGCCACCCGAGTTCGAACTAGGGTGGTTAATGTAGTCATACGAACTTGCAAATGAAGCCCGGGATTTGAATTTCCTGGGCTTCATTTGCATATTGCCGGGCGCCGCCATTTTTAAATGTCCGCTTGTGCGGACTCCGTGCCCGCGGCTACACACGGCACGAACTAGATAGTTCGGAATAGGAAGCCTATTCCGAACTATCTGAACTATTCCGTGGAACGAGGCATACAGATAGTTCAAAATAGAAATCCCGGGCTTCATTTGCAAGTTCGTATGACTACATTAACCACCCTAGTTCGAACTAGGGTGGTATATAGACATACCCTGAGAGTGTGGCACCCGGCAACATGCAAATGAAGCCCGGGAAATTCAAATCCTGGGCTTCATTTGCAAGTTCGTATGACTACATTAACCACCCTAGTTCGAACTCAGGTGGTATTGTAGACATACCCTCAGTGTTTTGAATTTGAGAAGAAAAGTTTTAAGAAGTGCACTTTGATTTTGGAGCAGAGCGTGATGAGATTTGTGATAGTCCTTAGTCACCATTGCTGTTTGTTCCATTAACTCAGACTGACCCCCAAGAAAACTGTCTCCTGAACAGATGTACTTATACGTATGGTAGAAGGTTCCATTGTGCTGAAGAGTGAAGTTGTTGACTATTATCCTTGTTCTGTAATTGTAGGTGTTATATAGTTCTGCCTCTCCCCCCCACTATAAGGGATTGACAGGTTAACATAACACACTGAACGAAGATCATGTCTGAGAAGAGATGGTCAATAAACACTTTTTTTAAAATGTTGTGCTTTTTCTGTCTCTGTTTATCATCAAAAACTAAACAGAATAATATAATTGACAGGTTTGGAAAATGTGTTTTCTAAGCAACATTACAACTGGTTAGAACATACATCAAGAGCAATGAGAATAATATAATTGACAGGTTTGGAAAATGTGTTTTCTAAGCAACATTACAACTGGTTAAAAAATTGTATGAAATGAAATTTCATACATCAAGAGCAATAAATATTTTCAAGAACTTTTGTTTTAATGAGCAGTTTTGTGTGTGTGTTTGTGTGTGTGTACAGCCCCCACTCCAATATATAGGAATAGAGATCTGATCCATCATCCAGTGTGAATTTTTCTATTGACTTTCTTCCCAAAGCGGAGTCATCTTACATGTAAAGATTTTCATACTATGCATTTAGAAAAAAGCCCCATTCTACTCTGATCTAAACTTTTGCAAATCTAGTGATTCCACTGAATTGATGTCACTGGAGTGACTCTGGGTCTGATTTGGTTCTTACCTACATCTATGAACATCAGAAATAACTTCATTCAAGTTAACGGGAGTTACACTTCTGTAAAAGCTGCATAGATGAGTACAGAATAAGGCCTTCTGAATTTATCGTTGTATAATTGAGAGCAACATTTGGCCCAAGATATGGTTTGCAGCATGTTATATGGGTAATTTTAAATATTTAATTGTGATTTACGAGAAAATATATTCTCGTGAATCCTAAAGATTCCTTGTTTGTGTTTTAATTGTGGCTTAAATATATGTGGCTGACCACAAAGATACAGAATTTATTTTATAAGGATTAAAAAAATATATCTTTTATTGGGTGAGAGCCTTCTGCCAAAATAAAGTTTCCATCAGCAGTTCTAATAAGTTGTGCCAGGGATTGACTCTGTCTTTCTAAATATTTGTATATATCCATCATCTTTTGCAACCCTCACTCCTTTTGATTAGGGTTGTTGCATTTCAATTGATCTTCAAAAAATATCCATATATTATAAAGTTTGCAGTGCAACAAATTTGGCAGAGTATCGTACTCAGAAAATTGTGTCAGTTAAAGGTAACTAGGTGTATTTGTTTTCTGTTTTGGATTTGTTTGTTTGTTTGTTTTTGTCTATTTCTTCCCATAGTCTTTAAAAAGTGATTGTGACCAAATTGTTCATCTACTTACAGGGTTTTGCAACAGCTCCAAATTCTCCATCAGTGAATTCACGTTCCACACTACTGGGTCCATCACTGTCTCTTGGCAACATTTCAGGAGTGACCGCCAACCAAGAAATAAAAAAACGCAGAGCACCTCCTCCACCAGTAGCAACGCCCCATTTGCAGAATATGGAGACAAGTGGAGTGGCAAAGACAGCAGTGCAGGTAAGAATGACAGAAGGAAATGCTAAATGCACTGATTAGATCCAATACATAATGTAGCTAGAAACAAATACCATTGATTGGATGGTTTGATCACTTAGTAACTCCTGCAGCCAGTGAAACTCTTCAATAACTACAGCAATCAACAAGAGTCCTGGCTGTTAGAGCTTTGCATGTACAAACCTACTTTAGAAGTGCCTCCTTTCCTAAAGCTCCATTTCTAACTCTACTGGCATTCTTATAAATGAGCTGTTTTTTTCTTGGGCTGAATCCTAAAATGCCAAGGGCTGCTCTTCCCATACTACAATTATTTGATATTATCCAGAGCCTTGATTCTGCCTCCAGGGCACAGGCCAGCATTGGTGAGCCAGAAGACACCATGTAATTCCAGGTTATGTCTTCACCATGAACTAGGGCAAAACGTGAAGATTATCTAAATAAGAAGTCAGTTTCCTGGTTTGCTTCCAGGACTGCACAGCTGCCTATTGCCCCATTTACAACATAAAAACAGTGAGACTGCACACTTCTGTTATAATGCTGATGTTATTGTTAGTTATCTTTATTTCTAGTTTAATTTTATTGATAAGGATGATATGTTGAGAGTACTGATTGTTGGAGTTTACCCAGTAATGGTGTATCTTTAGAGCCTGCAGATCCACAGATATCTACTTGATAGCCACAGGTATCCACAACCGTAGATATCAGTGCAGATATCTGTGGCTCATTTTTGCAGATGCAGTTGTAGCTACAAATTTTTTATCCACATAGGGCTCTTATATATCTTCTTAAATGTCTTTACAATGGCTTACTTTTATGTCTTCTATTGAAGTAACTTCTTCCTGATCAGATGATCAGAAAGTAACAGTGTTGTGTTTTAAACATGGTATCAGCTAGAAGGTTATAGAGACAGTATTGACATACCAAGGGCACATCTACCCAGCAAAAGCTGTGCACAGACTAGCCTGCCTAAGCCAGCTTAAATCTAGTGAGTGCCAGTAACAACAGCAATGAAGACAATACAGCCTAAGTGTTAGTGCAAGAAGAACAAGCCCAACATGGACTGTGGGTACATACCTGGCTCACTAACCTCCTGCAAAGCTCAAGGTGCATTGTCTTCAAACCTATTGTTACCCATGCAAGGTGGATTCAGGTTAGCTCGGGTAGACTAGCCCATGCACAGCTTTTGCCATTCAGATGTTTACTTGTCAGACATCACTTTCATTTGGTGCTTTTCCCCTCTCCCTCTCTGTTTCACACATGAACACTCACATGTGCTTGTGCATGCACGTACACACAACATTCTATGATTTTGGTAAAAATGTGATATGTATGACATAAAATTAAGATTTCTGCTAGAAAGAGAATAGGTGCTCTTTTACTAACATCCCTTCCCATGTGTTTTGCACCAGCAATATACCTTGTGTTGCAATGTTTGGTGCATTCTGTGTTGCTGTTTTTTATTCCTTTTGGCATCTATGTTAATAAATATTTTGATGCCTCTACAATTAAACATTCACAGTGTTTAAGTAACATGCATATTTCTGAACAAATGTTGTGGCAGAAGTTTACACATGTTTATAATCACAGTATAAAGTCTACACTCTTTTGAGCTTATCTTCATTTTGCATAGCATTTACACTTTTAATTTTAGACAACAGAAATATTTTTAGCATGATAACATCCCCAGTTTCAGTATTGTTCTCACATCACTAAAATACTGCTTTCTGGATTGTCTGGGAACAAATGTATCTGTTGTTTGTTGAAAGTGACATACGATATGATCACCTTTGTTATATTTTTTTCTTAAAAAAAAAACCTTTTGTAGAACAAAAACAAGTGTGATTGAATAGGGATATAATAGTGTTAATTTGGGACACTATATGTCTTTCCTAGTTTACAAAGTCAGTCTACGGTACTTCAACTTTATTATCAGATCAATTGTTTGAGTTCATCTGAGTGTTTCTTTGTCCTTTTTTTGATGGGAAAGGACATCTCTATGAAAACAATTGTGCTGTTCAGGACAGCAAACATTGGTAATATGCTTCTGAAGCGCCTTGTTTGGCAAGCTGTTTGCAATCTGTACTGTAGATGATGATCCAACGTAACTGTAAGGAATCCAGCAGAAATGAACCAACAACTCCATGAAGCAGTTTAAACTTGAGGAAAAAAAGATTAGTTATTTAATGTTGCATGGTAAGGTAGCAACAAGAGCATTGTTTATACAAAAACACAAACAGTGCTAAACTTATCTACGTGCAGATTATCCAGTTTGCTGTGAAAATAGAATAAAAAATCTCAGGGTGTTAGTTTATTTCTATCGTTTATGGGAAAGAATTAACAAATGTATTTTTTTAGGGAAGAACGTCAATTCCTTATTAATGGACTTCCTTCCATGAAAAGATAAGATGTTTGTTTAGAAAACTTTATTTATGTGCAACTGTTACTAACAGGAAGATCCTGCAAAAGGAGAACATGTTTATTTCCAGTGAGGCTAGCAGATTATTAGAAAATGAGAATGGTGGTGTTTTGAACCAGAAAAAGATTTTTACCTTTAAACTGAATTTGTTTCCCTAAAAGCAGCATAGAAAAGTGAGTACTGTAGGCATAACAGCTACGCTTACCCTGACCCCCTTACCCATCAAAGTCATTTTTATTCACTATTCAGCTCTAGGATATTCCATTTTTATAGCAATATAAATACATCTTAAGTGATACATTTTTTTAATTTTTAATTTTTTAATTTTTAATTTTTTTTTGAAAAATCATGGCAGACAGGGAAGATTCCAGAAGACTGGAAAAGGGCAAATATTGTGCCCATCTATAAAAAGGGGAATAAGAACAACCCAGGAAATTATAGACCGGTCAGTTTAACGTCTGTCCCAGGGAAGATAATGGAGCAGGTAATTAAGGAAATCATATGCAAACACTTGGAAGGTAATAAAGTGATAGGGAATAGCCAGCATGGGTTTGTGAAGAACAAGTCATGCCAAACTAATCTGATAGCTTTCTTTGATAAGATAACGAGCCTTGTGGATAAGGGAGAAGCGGTGGATGTCATATACCTAGACTTTAGTAAGGCATTTGATACGGTCTCGCATGATATTCTTATTGATAAACTAGGCAAATATAACTTAGATAGGGCCACGATAAGGTGGGTGCATAATTGGCTGGATAACCGTAGTCAGAGAGTTGTTGTTAACGGTTCTAAATCCTGCTGGAAAGGGATAACAAGTGGAGTTCCTCAAGGGTCTGTTTTGGGACCCGTACTGTTCAATATCTTCATCAATGATGTAGATATTGGGATAGAGAGTACTCTTATTAAGTTTGCAGATGATACCAAACTGGGTGGGGTTGCAACTTCTTTGGAGGATAGGGACATAATTCAGAATGACCTTAGCAAGTTAGAGAAATGGTCGGAGGTAAACAGGATGAGGTTTAATAAGGAGAAATGCAGAGTGCTCCACTTAGGAAGGAACAATCAGTTCCATACATACAAGATGGGAAGCGACTGTCTAGGAAGGAGCATGGCGGAAAGGGATCTAGGGGTCATAGTGGACCACAAGTTGAATATGAGTCAACAGTGTGATGCTGTTGCAAAAAAAGCAAATATGATTTTAGGTTGTATCAACAGGTGTGTTGTAAGCAAAACTCGTGAAGTCATTCTGCCGCTCTATTCTGCACTAGTTAGGCCTCAGCTGGAGTACTGTGTCCAGTTCTGGGCGCCACATTTCAAGAAAGATGTGGAGAAATTGGAAAGGGTACAGAGAAGAGCGACAAGGATGATTAAAGGTTTAGAGAACATGACCTATGAAGCCAGGCTTCATGAACTGGGCTTGTTTAGTTTGGAAAAAAGAAGATTAAGGGGGGACATGATAGCGGTTTTCAAATATCTAAAAGGGTGTCACAAGGAGGAAGGAGAAAATTTGTTTCTCTTGGTTTCTGAGGACAGGACAAGGAGTAATGGGCTTAAAGTGAAGCAGGGGAGATTTCGATTGGACATTAGGAAAAAATTCCTAACTGTCAGGGTGGTCAAATATTGGAATAAATTGCCAAGGGAGGTGGTGGAATCTCCCTCTCTGGAGATATTTAAGAACAGGTTAGATAGACATCTGTCAGGGATGGTGTAGACGGAGCTTGGTCCTGCCTTGAGGGCGGGGGGGCTGGACTCGATGACCTCTTGAGGTCCCTTCCAGTCCTATGATTCTATGATTCTATGAATGTCTGTGCTCAGTAATTGAAATCTATAACCACCATAAGTAATGAGAATTGGAATATACCTCATTCATTCTTTAGATTTCCTTCAATTGTTTTTGTAGGATAGTCAGGTGACTGCTTGCACAGTAATGTAATCCTATCTCAACTCCCATCTCAGTGTGTATTACAATGATCATAGAATCACAGAGGATTAGGGTTGAAAGAGACCTCAGGAGGTCATCTAGTCCAACCCCTACTCAAAGCATGGCCAGCCCCTACTAAATCATTTCAGCATAGGCTTTCTTAAGCCTGGTCTCTAGAATCTCAGAGGAGATTCCACCACCTCCCTAGACAGCTCATTCCAGTGCTTCACCACCAGGTGTTCCTAATATAATAGTTGGCCTCTAAGGTAAAGACCCCTGGAATAACCTACCAAGCATTTGCTTCCCAAGACTTGTTCACAGGTAGTATTTTCTTCTTATCCCATTTTAAAATCCCTACTAGAAACTATTCATTTGTACTGCGAGCACTGTTAAGCAATGTTCCAGACTGTGCAGAGACTCCACTCAATAATTTATAGCAGGGAGACAGGCTGAGGCCCAAGAAGGGAATCTACTTGTCTCTTCCCTCAAGACATTTTTTAAACTCATCTGCCATTTGATGCAATTTATTACAAAGTAAAATCCACAAAAACTATTTAAAAGC